TTAGTGGCCCACTTGTCATCAACTTTTTAAAGATTTCTGCCATCAGTTTTGCTGCATTTCCAGGTGAAATAAATAGATCAAGATTTGTTGCGGATTCGTCGGCAGCTTTAGCGGCACGAGAAAACATCTTTTGCTCGTAGTTGTGAATTGCTTGTTTTAAATCGTCTGCGTTGATGATGGCAAGAGCCAACTCTGTAGCATCGAGCATAGCTAAATTAACACCTTCACCTGCAAAAGGAGACATGAGATGAGCAGCATCGCCTAGTAATGTGACACCTTGTTGCGTTTCCCATCTATGATTGATAGGTAGCATATATAGAGGGCGTGGAGCAAAACTAGCATCGCAAAAACGAATAAAGTTGAGCAGACTATTGTCCCAATCTACGAATAAATGAAGGAGATCATCACGAACTTGTTCTGGTTTATCGAAAGCAATGCCTGATTCGACGACCCAATTTTCCGGTACCCGTAGGGTGATGTAGACACGAATTCGATTATGTCCATTGCGTTGACCAATAAGGCCTTTGTTGTCAGATGAAGCAAATAGGGTACCGCGACCAACTAATTTGGCAATCTGAGGATGTCGATCATCAACCTCGGTGAATTGTACTTCCACTATCGTAACACCGCAATACTGTGGCATTGCACTTGATACAAGAGGACGGATGCGTGACCTGAAAGAAGTTATCATCTATGACAATTGTTACTGTAACTCTTATCAAAACTCACCATGCACCATCAGCTCCAATGACCAAATCAGCAATATCCGTCACACCATTGTCGAACACAAGTTTATGTTGACCATTGCTCAATGATTGGATGCTTTGTAAATTGTGCCCTTGAGCAATGGTATCTTCCTTGAGTGATTGAAGAAGTAGTTGTCGTAGATCATGTCGATCAATTTCTGGGCGGTCAAAATGAATTTCATTGGATACTTCTTCATAATGAACTGTGCCAGATTTGTCGACGATGCGCATATCTTGTCCTTCAGGACGACAAAGTGCTTGAAACTTGTCAAATAGGTCTGCTATTTGAAGAGCATATTGTCCCGATTCCACATGAAGATCCAAAGTTCCTCCTTGAGGTCGAGCATCAATAGAACTTTCTCGTTCGTACACTTTGACTTCAACACCATGGAGTTGTAGAATGCGTGCTAGTGTAAGCCCACCCGGTCCTGCTCCGACAACAACAATGCGTCCTAATTTATTTTTTGACATGCTTGAATTTGAGAAATCTTTTAATCCACCAATTTTTCTAAATAAAGAATAGTAATTATCCTAATTCATTAGAGCCATTTTTTCTTTGAATTTTCTTGAAAAGTTCGATCTTACAAGTTTAAGCAATCGCTGGTGGAAGATGAAAGGAATTAAACGACACTTTCATTTCAAGATTGAAAAACTAGTCCTTTCCTAATATATAAGATATAAACAATTTTCTTTGTGTGAAAGGTCAATCCAATAGACTTTTCGGTAAACGTTCAGCAATGATTGAGTTATGTGGTTTTCATGAAGAGATCGGTTTTCCTAATGATTAAAAACGGTTATCATGTTTACCTGCACAAATGCACACGTGTGTTTATATGGTCTTTTTGCAGATAATATGTGACACATGCAAATTCTTTCTTTCTTTTCTTTTTCTTATCGTTACAAGGTTATACAAAGTGCATCAGAAACATGGCATGCCACAGCATTTGTATTAATCGCATTGGCTAGCGTCGACAACCTACTCTGTTGCTTTTTCGGTACGATTGCAAATAACTATTTGCAGTTGGAATGGAAGTATTGAAGTTTTTTGCTCTATGCAACGAATTGTTGACGAACGGAAGTTCTAAGTAAACGACATTGCGTCTTCCTAAGGAAAAAACTTGCAAGACGTTTGCATTTATCTTCTTCCTCAATGTTTCCGATTGATGTAATTACCAATTGAGTACTTTTTCCGAACAAACATAAAATCTAAACCGAGCGAGAGACTATATTTTGTTTCGTGATATCCTCTGACGTAAAATTATAGGTGAAAACAAGTGACCTCTACAGGTAAACTCAAAGTTTCGAGTCCACCTATCCATCCACATTTTACCATTAAAATCTCGATTCACGTTTCATAGGAACACTTAGACACAGTTTTTCACGATTTCTTTTTCATAATAAAATGGGTGACACAGAATAAGTGGCATTCGTAGTTTTATCTTGAGGTGGG